CACAGATATATTTGTGTTGAGATAAAAAGAGACCAGTGGTAGTAGGCACAACTTCAACACCGAGAAAATAATGAAGGGATCCAAGATCCTTGACAGAGAACCTTCTAGCAAGAGCATGAACAAACTGAGAAACCAGTGAGGCATTATTTCCTGTAACAATAAGGTCGTCAACATAGACAAGAAAATAAATAACAACGCCTTTACGGCGGTAGAAAAAAAGAGAAGCATTAGAGAGAGCATTTAGGAACCCATTAGAAATCAAGAACGAGCTCAACTCTTTGTACCAAGCACGCGGTGCTTGTTTGAGGCCGTACAAGGCTTTACGAAGTTTGCACACATGACCAGGGAAATTGGAATCAACGAAGCCGGGGGGCTGAGACATATACACATCTTCAGTAAGGACCCATGAAGAAATGCATTATTAACATCCAGTTGTCGTATAGGCCAGCTAGATGAGAGGGCAAGATGCAGAACAACCCGAATGGTAGTGGGTTTCACAACAGGACTGAAAGTTTCAGAGAAATCAATGCCAGGGCGTTGATGAAACCCTTTAGCCACCAAGCGGGCCTTATACCGATCAATAGTGCCATCAGGATGACGTTTGATGCGGAACACCCATTTGCACCCAATAAGATTGTGACTCAGATACCCGGTGCAGGCAAGTATTTCTCCCCAATATTGATGTTATAATAACCTTTTCTTTTTTCTTTCTTTTTCTTTCACTTTTGTCGTTTCATAAAGAAAAGACCAAAATTCACCAAATTAAAGACCATGATATAAAGCTGGTTCCTTTCCTTAGTTTTTTTGTAACCAAAGGCTGAAAACATGCTGAGCCTTTTGTAATTTTTTTTTCCTTAAATTAGTAGAACCTCCACAAACTAGTAGTTTTCAGCCTTGTTTGAGATTTTTTTATACTGCTTCCCTTTAAAACAGGCTAATTTAGTTCAATTGCTTCAATGCCTTCTGCAACGTTACTCCGGTGAGATATGATGTGCACTAAGATATGATGTGCACAGTCTAATATGGACAGTTTTAGTGTTACGATAATTTTTGACAGAGAGAGAAGTGGAGAGAGGAACACACCAAATGTCCCCTTCCATCCCCAGAGAAGGGAGAGACGCTGAGTTGGTTTGGACTTGTTGAGGCTTTTGTACGTAAACATTAAAAATATGATACTCTTTTATGCCCCTACCCCACCCTAGGAACCCCCCTAGTGTTATCCCTACTAATAGGACAATCTGCCCTCTCCTCTCCTTTTTTCTTTCCCACAATCCCCCTCTACTAGTCTACTACTACTACATTGCTTTTTTTTCTTTTTTCTTTTTTCTCTCTCTCTCTCTCTCTCTCTCTCACAACCCTAAATCAACTTAGCAGTGGACTGTGGCGTGGGAAGGAAATATCTTGGAGGTCACGTGCTCCTTTCATATTGGAGTGGTCCCCTACTTTACAATACTCCCACGGTCAGTAAAGGGTGATAATTTTAGTTTTGAAATAATTCTCCACAAGAGCTTTGAATTTTGTGAAAACAGAAAACACATCAGACTTGAATTTAATTGGATATAACCAAATATATTTTGAGAAGTGATCAACAAAAATGACATAATACTGAAAATGGAAGGTACAACATGTGTAATATGTAAACCTTTACCATTACCAATCACAATTTCATCAGGACCTTCGTAGGGCAAGTGCTGAGAGAGATTGCTGGGATCAGCTGTGACATGATGGGAGGCACCGAAGTCAAGGAGCCAAGTAGGAGAGGGTGAAGTGCGAGAGCTAGTAGTGGGATTTGCCACGGGTTGGTGGTACTGAGCAAGCTGTACACGAGGGCATCGTTTGGCGCTGTGACCTTGTTGATCGCACAATTGACAGAAGCCCCTATAACCAGTACCAGAAAAATTGGTAGAACGTCGAGAGTTAGACCCACCAGAGTAGCTGCGGGAAGAGAAGTGACTGCCGGATGAATTGGCAGCAGCAGAATCACGAGAATAACAAGGACCAGAGGTGGAGCTGGGGCGGGATTGATTGGGTTGGTTGTTGCGAGGTCCTCGATTGAAAGATCGAGATTGCTGAGCAGTATTTGCTGTGATCACAGGTGCAGAAGTGGTACTTTCTTCCCGTTTGAGGGCTGCTTCATATTCCACAAGTTTGTCATGAAGAGTCTCGAAGGAAATAGACGAGTCACGAGCATGGACAGCGGCTGAAATTTCTTTGAACTCAGGGCCGACGCCATTAAGGATGTGGATGACAAGATCGTCATCAGAGAGAGGGACATCGATGAGAGCGAGTTCATCAGCTATGGCTTTGACACGCTGGAGGTACTCAGAAACAGGTTTGGAGTCGCGTCGCATGAGCGAGTTCAATTGGGTTGGTTGTTGCGAGGTCCCCAATTTTGTTATACACCACTTCCCCAATTTCTCACTAACTTGAGGCATTATAGAGGCATTCTAGAGGCACTATAGAGACGGTACAAAGGCAGGGGAGCATAGCAAAGACAGAGACCCTTAGATCACTACCAATTGAAAATTGATCAATATGTCACATCAGGTTGATATGCACTGCTTTAGGAGAGAGAGAGAGAGAGAGAGAGAGAGAGAGAGAGAGAGAGAGGACCAAGTTGATAGCAGAGTTATTCACAGAGGGATCATTTTTGCTCACCACTTTAACCATATGTGTATCCTCACCACCATCCTCAATGTTTGACACGTGCCCATAGGTACAATCATGATTCCATAAATACAAAGCAAAAGTTAACTATGGTTATGTCTATGGACACGTGTCAAGCATTGAGGATGGTGGTGAGGGTACACCTATGGTTAAAGTGGTGAGCAAAAATGCTCCCTGAATGGGTGCATTTTTGCTCACCACTTTAACCATAGGTGTACCCTCACCACCATTCTCAATGCTTGACACGTGTCCATAGACATAACCATAGTTAACTTTTGCTTTGTATTTATGGAATCATGATTGTACTCTATGGACACGTGTCAAGCATTGAGGATGGTGGTGAGGGTACACCTATGGTTAAAGTGGTGAGCAAAAATGCACCCATTCAGGGAGCATTTTTGCTCACCACTTTAACCATAGGTGTATCCTCACCACCATCCTCAATGTTTGACACGTGTCCATAAGTACAATCATGATTCCATAAATACAAAGCAAAAGTTAACTATGGTTATGTCTATGGACACGTGTCAAGCATTGAGGATGGTGGTGAGGGTACACCTATGGTTAAAGTGGTGAGCAAAAATGCACCCATTCAGGGAGCATTTTTGCTCACCACTTTAACCATAGGTGTATCCTCACCACCATCCTCAATGTTTGACACGTGTCCATAGGTACAATCATGAAGGGCTTGTCGGCTCGTCATGCTGTTGCTGCTGCTACTTAGAAAAGTCATCATTGCTTGCATTTATATTAAAGATCACACTTTTTGTTACCAAAAACAAAAAAAAGATCACACTTTTGACTCACTTCAAATGTTTTTCTAGAACTGGCCTTCTACCTTCCCTTGTGGTTGAGTGCGTCTGCACTAACTGCTGGTGGTCTTGGGTTCGAAGGTTGGTGCTTCAACATTGTTGTTTACAAACCCCATACTAGCAACAAATGTGCTTCTAGAAACACTACCTTATGTTGATTGACAAATAATTGATGTATAGGAACTTTTTATATGTAATTTCCAGAATCAAAATGCTTTGATTTAATTATGACATCTCAAGGCTTTTTACCATATATATTCATGTTAATTATCACTACAAATAGTCTGATATGAAATCCAATTACTTCAGTAAATTTTTTGACATCATGTTATTATACACGAGACCACTTGTATTAATATATCATTGGGCAAGATATCATATTGAAATTATTTAATTTTCTTTTCAAAATCATGCATATAGAAACCTATGTCAAATTTTGAGTCCATGAAATACGTTAGAGCTGTGCAATTTGAGGCCAAAAAGGAAAATGAACAGGTCAAGTGAGGTGGGCACTACACCCAAAATACAGGTGGATTTACTCTATCTACGTGGATTTGTAAAGCCCAAGATAGCTCTGCTGATGTGTCAAAATTATTATAAAAACTTTAGTACACTTTACATAGAATATAACTTTTTATTTGTTTATCAATATTCAATTAACCTTTATCCCTCATCCAAGGAAAGAGCAATTCTTCCTATAGCCTTTCATTAATATTATTCTTTATTAATCACTAATTATCGCTATGAAGATATTACATAAAAGACTACCGTAATTTATAACTAGTTTGGAAGTGTTTATACATAAGTAATTTTAGCATAATCGCTTTATGCTAGGAGCGCTTTTACATAGAATCATTTTATTGTATGAATACCAACATAAAAGTGCTTTTATACTAAAATATTTTCCCACTTACCCTCCGTATGTTATATCCAAAGATTTCACTAATTCAAACACTAATCCACTAAACTCTTTTTCCACCCTCCAATACCATCAACGCACCCGTATGTGTTTCTTATTGCACTATCTTCTTTCCCCATAAATCATATTCATCCTCCTTTGGCATCCATCCATTACAAGGTGCGTTAATTTTATATACTATTTTACTGTCATATTTTGGATGGAGACATTATTTTTACTATTTTGTGCCTCTCAGGCTATTACATTTTCTTCTATACTTTTGTTTTGTTAAAAAATAATTCAATATAATTGGGGAGAGAGAAGCGAGGGAATTTGGGGAGGCCAACAAATAATGTGAAAACTGAAAAGTCGGTTAAGTTTTTTAATATTTTAATTAATGAAAATTATAAGAAATTGATATCTTAAATTTATTTTAGAATTTTTTAAAAAAATAATGGGTAGTTGTATTCCATAAAAATAGGATCCATTATCTGATTTTTCTTTTAATTTTACTTTTAAAAATGAAAAAGTGTGAACTTACCATATTATCCTCATTTAATTAATAATTTCAATTGTTAATGTTTGCATTAACCAATGACATTTTTTGGTATTTTGAATATTTCACCATTCTCTACCTTTTGCTTTATATATATAGATATATAATTTTAATGAGGGAATTTGGGGCACTATGTTTATATGATTATATAAGAAATTATAATGATTTCTTATATAAGAGGAGGATATGCAGACCAGCCCAGGCCAAAAGGAACCTTTCTATATAGGCCCAAATCAAATAGCAACCAATAAAGAAGGAGAAAAAGGGTTCACGATTGACAAAATTTAGGATCATAGAGACACTTACAACTGAACCCTATTAGAGAACACAAGAATTCTGAACAGTCCTCTGTGTTTCTCTGCTTCCTAGAACACAAGAATTCTGCAAGCTTTGGTTTGGCTCAAAAGGAGGAAAAAGGCAGATGTACAGAAAGGAATTTACAGAACAATTCCTTGTCTGTCAACGAAGGAAGAGAGATATGATGAGGAGTGTAGAGCAGAGAGAGACAGAGAGAGAGTGATGATGAGAGGGAGTTGCGGCTAGGGTTGAAACGAAGGAAGAAGAGAGAGAGGCTCACGCAAATGTAAGGGAGAGAAAATGGAGTCCGTGACCGTGAGTATTAGTTTTGGAGTCCAATCAGGTGTGCTAGGGTACATGGTACACTTTCAACTAACCACTCAAGCCTTGCCACATGTAAACTAAATTAAACAAATAATAAATTGATTTATAATCGGTCCGGTTTGGTTTAGGACAGTTTTCAAAACTCCCAAACCGCAGCCGAACCAAACCAAACCGGTTCGGATCGGTTTTTCAAACTGTTGACTTTTTCTTTGGTCAAAACCAAACCAAACCAAACCAATATAATCGGTTCGGCCGGTGTAATCGGATCGGCCGGATTGATGCCCACCCCTACCCCTAGTTGATTTGATTTTTATTTCTTGTCTATTATTGGTAAGTAAATATGTGTAACACCCCGATCCAATAAATTGTTTTTATTTAATTATTTAATTGTGCAATTACATTTTTTGCCCTTTAAGAATAGGGGTACTTTAGTCACTTTTTGTTTTGGAAGGATTTTGGGGAATTGAGCGGCACCGTTGCATAGAGCTCGCTGATATGAGTTTGTAGACAGGTGGCATGTTCAATTCGAAGTTAAAACGAAGAAGTTATGATCTACGGAAGTGTAGTAGTACAACCGTAATTTTTGTAAAGTCAAATTTTAAAAATATCTGCCAGCCTTCTTTCTCTCTCATTTCTCTCTCTCCTCTCCCGACTTTCTCTCTCTTCTCTATCTCTCTTTCTAGTGATGCTGACCCTTTCAGCGGAGACCAAATTCGACGATTCTGATCCCAAAAGAACTGTCTCTCTCTCCTCTATATGACCCACCCAATTTCCAAACTCAAAGACCTAAGATTTGGCGGTGGTTTCGACTGGAAGTTTCGATAGAAACTATTGACATTGCCGGCGACATTTCAGTCCCCTCCAAGCCTCGACACCACCTGGAACAAATACCCATGCTTCTAGTACTCCAGAGGAAGAGCCCTCTTAGGATTGAGCAGTGTTGGACTTGTTGTGAGTGGACATTTATTTTTCAAATATGGAATTGCTTGCATAAATGTGATTTGATTGTAAATTGGTTTATTTTAGGTTAATGAGGTTATGAGATTTTAATATCGAGCTAGTCTCGGCTTTTACAATGTGATTTGGGATTTCCATGGATTTTTATTATTATTATTATTATTATTATTATTATTAAAGTATATGGATTGGGCGATATTGGGTTTGTTTATGGAATTTGAACATGGGATTTGGTTTGTGTGGATTTTTTTATCAATGTCTTATAGGATTTTCGGAGTTGGTTATATCTATTTGTTGAGGCCCAAAATGTCATGAGAAGCCCAAAGATATTTAAAGCTCAATATAACATATAATGTTGGTCATGTGTTAATCCAAGCTGTATTTTAGGAATTAATTCATTAAATAAATATAAAAATAGTGTACATGTCATGTCAAACCAATAATACATTTTTCCTATGCTAATCACCTACCAAGTCATGTGGTTCACGGGGCTTACACGAGGGGTTGTGGCGTGAAAGGTTACTGAGGTCCGCAAGGCCCACGGAAGCTCTTGGATAAACTTTAGCTACTTGGGAGCACCAAAGTCCAAGCCCATTACTTGGAGTTCTCCAATGTGGGTAGCAAATGAGATATCCTTCAAGCACTCCTTATTACCCTCTAGAAACAAGCCAATTCCGACACTTCCTTTTACTCATAGGAAATAGTCAATTTCGACACTTCCTTTTACCCTTGGATACTGGTTACTTTACCCACACTTGAGATGAACGATGTCGGCGTGTGGGCGGATACTGTTACTAGATACTGATACTTGGATACTGATACTTTACCCTCACATGCGAT